AAATGCCAACTTTATTATATTATGGCTGATGCCAGGGGAAAGACTTCTGAATATGATGATCTGTTGAGCTGGATCATCTTGACAGGACATCAAGAACATTTCTGGTTTCCCAAATTGGCACATTGGGTTAGCATCATATCCACACAGCAAAATATAACAACTTTGTTGAAAAGGCATAGTGATAACAGCAATGTATATGAAGGCAACATTTTGAGGCCAAGAGATACATTTAATATGGTGGCCAAGGATTTTTATGGGTGGGGCAATTATGAAAAAAAAAGTGTGGGCCATGATACAAGAACAGGTGGAATTAGGAATTCTGCAGATTGTACAGGGAGAATTTTGGTATTTTGTTTTAAAATTTAATTTTCATATATTTTTCATGGATTCTGTGCTACGTCCTCAATTATTAAAATATTGCTGTCTTAGGTCAGAGAAGGCACAATGGCAAATGAGATAACACAAAAACTCTGATCTCATGAAGTACAGATATGAATGCCCATCTGTCAAATAGCACTTATCCCATATCATTCCAAGGTTTTCTTAATATCCAGGATAAACTTCATTATGCTATGTGGAAGACAAACAGGAGGAACCAAATTTGACTCAGGATGCAGTAGAGGTGCAAATTTCATCAGTCTGCAGACTGAGGTAATCTGCAGGTTACTTCAGATGAAGCAATAATCAAGATAAAATTGTAAGATATCTGATAAAAAGAAGCTATGACATAGCTGATGCAGACTGATGATGTTATAAATCTAGAAACGATTATGGGAAACTAGATTCTTACTGTTTCATTATTTTAAAATATTCTGGTAAATGAGGAAAGGCAATACTTTTTTCCTTCTTTTAATAAAAGAAAACAGACATTTCACTATTTAATGTTTTGCAAATCTTCCTTTTGGAGATTTTGAACAATTTACTGTATACTAAATATACAGTAGACGCTGGCGAAAATAAATGTAGTGTGTCATATTAAGCATAAATGCCCTTATGGACTTCATCTATATGAAAACGTTGGTTTGAACAACAATAAACCAAAACTTAACACTAAATTTCCACAAAGTATGTATTTTATTTTACCCAATCACATAAATGTAAACATACTTTCCTAAACACCTGATATTTGATCTTGAAAAATAAAGTTTATTTTCTGTTTGCATCCAAAATGGAATATATTTAAAAGTCATTTTCTTAGTCTTTTTGTTAAATACATATTAAAACTTTCTATATATTACATGTAAAAATAGTGATCATTTTAATGCATATACAAAGCAAATTCAGCTTGCATTTATCTTTGCTATTATGTAACATTTATTGTCTGCCTATATACCATCATTTCAAATATAATCCAAGAATACTAGTGTTGAAATGCCATCATTTTTGTTAACATCTTTAAAAGCCTTTTAGTATCCTGCTTCACCTAACCCATTTATCTATGGGATTTTATCTGTCAACATACAGATATCTAATGCATTGCTTGTATGTTCATGAACCTAAGAACACTAAAACACTTCAGTATAAATGCGTTTCTATGGTACTGTTTTAGAAACTAACAACCAATGTGTTTAAATGTAAAAGCCAAAATCAGCTAATACTTACTTTAAAAGAAAAAAAATTAAAAAGGGAATAATTCCTAGGCTGCTACTTAGTAGTAGATAATCTCAAATATAGCAAAAATGATAAACTGGAACATTTATGCACTAGTGTCTCTGTGTATGAAGCAACAATTGTACATAAAGTCTTGTCTAAATTGGGATCAGTTACACAATAAACTATTAGAAATCTTGACTAGAGTTTGCCTCCTTCCTTCCTATTACCCAAGAATATACAAACCCCATTTACAAAATATCTGTTCATAAAACATTATCTTAGTCATAGTTGTCAATATTATTGTTTTGAAAGCCCATTTAACATAGAGAACATGTTTTCAGTAAAATAAGATATACATTTCCAAGATCAAACCAGAAGATGGTGCTACCTCAGCTAGCAATGGTTTTATCAATTTTTGAGATGTTTTACAGACACAAGGACAGAATCACCAATGGGTATGCAGGCAGCGGTTAATGTTCCACAGATAGGGGAAGTAGATATTTAAGATAAATCCACTCATTTGTGTCAATGTTTAATCTCCAGAGAAAGCAAGAATAGGGAAGTGATAAAAACAATGTACCGTACATCTTATGAAAAGAGGTCATATAATATAACTCAAACAGATCGAAAAGCAAGATTTTTTAAAAATTTATTTATTCAATGCATATAGCTATAATGTGAACATAACAAGTAGAAGGATAGAACAAGAAGAGGAATGAAATATAATTCTTTCTGTTAAATTAAAGAAAAACACAGTAGGATAACTCCAGCCAGGAGTAGCAGTAAATGCATTGATTTTATAATACAAATAGAGAAAAGTGACAAATGTTTCTTTTAGTATCAAGGGCCATGCTCCAGTCAAAATGTAGCATATTTATATACCATAGATCTCAGTGACAAATTTCTTCACTTTGCTTAAAAGTTCTTATTTATGGAACTAAACTTCAGATTGTATGAAAGATCTGAAATATATTGGGTGGAAAGTAATCTTTATTTTGGGATTTAAAATTATGTGTACATGATAATCTCGGGTACAAATTTATCTGTTCATCTATTTTATTGTCATGCATACAAGGTACCTGCATATATCAGAACTCATGAAACAATAAATGTAACTCACCCCCACCCCAATTGTTTGAGATTAGATGCCCATGGATTCAGTACACTATACACATCCCCTGGATGCCACTAGGTGACGCTGTTTCATAGAAAGGACCCACAGCATGCTCCTTCTGCCAGGATGAAGAGAAATAACTGGGAGAGAAGTTGTCCTGCAATAATTTGGCATTGTACTACAAGAGGCTTTTTAAGCGGTAACCAGCACTTTGAATTTCATATGGACGTTTATAAGGTACTAGTAAAGTACTGCTACAGGGGTGCACCAAAGTGTTTCCAGAGCTACTCACTACTGTATTTCAGATCAGTTGCAGCTTCTGCATGGTTTTTCAAGGTTAATCTAATATACGGTACTTTGCAATAATCCTGCCAGGGGTTGACTAGGCAATGCAGATGGATGACTTTACCTGGAGATTTCATGTAGATATTCAATAGTAGTTGAGACCAAGTAGTAGAGGCCTGGGAAACCCCACAGAATGGATACTTGGGGCACAATTTCTCCTTTATCTACCAGCACTAATTGGAAATGCCCCGAAAGAAAAGAGAACCACTACAACACCATGCCTCTCATTCCTAATCTGTAGAAGTAGTCCAGAGATATACAGTGACTGCTTGTATCAAAGACGGGTGAGAAATCAAGGAAGGCCAGAATGGATTGTACCACCTCATCCCAATCCTACCACAGGCCTTCTATAACTGCAATCAATGCTATCCAGATAATCCGCTTCATCCATACTCTCTGTAACTACAAGCCAATTGCTTTCCCCCAAACTTCCACTTTCTTGGGATTAAGAGTTTTAAACTCATCCCAGATAGCTATGCCAGTCACCTCCAAGAGACCTCCACAGCAATTTGGAGTGATTTCATCCAACAGACACCTAGATTAGTTGTTATGGTAGCCCTGTAGATCTTCCTCCATTCTCTACTTCCCCAAGAGGGATTGGGTTACTCTAATGTCTATTTCCAGATGCAATAAGAGTAGAAAAATTGCATTTTTCTGTTCTATAACCATGAGGTAGTCTTACCTGTGTTAAATCTGATTCACTTTGTTTTCCGTCAGTGACTCTGTGGGATCTAGAGGTCACACAAGCACAATTTTACTCAAGTCCTTGGCTGCCCTTTCATTCCAGATAGCAACAAAGGCCTCAGATGAACCCAATCCAAGCTTCTTTTAAACCTGTAGAGATTATCAGGTGCCTGAGACAGACAAATCTAATGGGCCTTCCTCCCTGTGCCAAGGAGTGCTTGAACGGAATGCTAAGGTAAATGATCTGATCACCACAATGAATTGATGTCATTTCCCCAATTCCCGTTCATAGCACTATGCCCCGAAAACAGGTTTACATTAGAAGGGTTTCCTTCACTAATGGGTCCCTTGGTAAGCTTTTCCCAGATATTATTGGATGGTAGTTGTGTTACATGAATAAACCTATGTGTGTCAATGTGGGTTGCTGCATTCTGCAGAAGCTGAAGCTTCGACAGGCACTTTAAGGATAGGTCCATGTGGAGTGCACTGCAGTGCTCTAGCTGCAAGATGACAAAGAATGAAAGACTGCAACTCTTAACTGCAACAGGTCCAGATAATCTGCATCCTCCAGAATTTTTTGAAACTGCACATCTACCATGTTTTTCCCCCCAATAACTTTTCTAAAAAATAGCAGGTTGAATACTGGATTAAAATTGTCCACACAGCTGGGTCCAGGAATGGCAAATAGAATCACCACCTGTAGAGTGGTCGCTACTTGATTCCAGCTACATATTACCTACCGGAGCCCCTAACCAACTAAGAGGAGCATGTATCTAATATATAGCAAATTGGTGGTATTTTATCCCATGCTGGCAATGATCTCTCCCAGTGACTTCATATGGCTGTAAATAGTAATGGGGAGAGGAACAAGCTTTGGGACACTTTAGTCAAGGGTTCCATCTTTTCCCCAACCACCAATGACTAAAACCAGATTATCCAGGGAGGAAATTTACTGAGGAACAGTGTTCTCTATTCCCAATTCTTACAGCAGCTTTAGTATAACATGGTTAATAGTACTGAAGAACATTGAGAAATTCAGCAGGATAACATTCATAACATTTGTTTTATTGTTTGTTTTGTTTTATTAAACATTTATAGGCCGCCCTTTTCCCTGAAGGGACTCAGGGCGGCTTACAATAATAGGGGAAGGGAGTGCAGGACAAAACACAAAAAGAAAATGTGAGTAAAAATAATTAGCAGTAAAAACACAACATTCATTCAACATTCGGGAGGGGCGAGAGTAAAGTCTNTATTAAATTGGAACAAAAAGGATAGTTTTGCCTTGGACTCTGATTTAATTCTGCATGATACTTGGAACGCTGACAACTATATTTTAAATCTATCATTTTAAGATATATTCAGCCTCTTATATATAATCTTATATACTGTATATTTCAGTCACAATCATTTCTTTTATATTAAAATCTTCCAATTAATCAATGCAGTACTACGATTTCTGAAAGCAGTGATTAAAGTACATTCAAACACTTGTGACCTAAAATTGCAAGTTAAAAATATGTAATCCAGGTTTTTAAAAAGAACAATGAAATTTATGTGAAGAACATCTGAATTCATGTACAAATGTCCATACTGGTATATTCTTACCTTATCCTTTGTTAATGAACACTTTCTAGATAATTTTGATTGCTGATTAGTCAGAGCAGATATGGAAGAACAGCTGAATTGATCAGTATCTGCTTCTTGTATTTGTTTACCTTTGCTTGTCCTTCCAAAACAAACAGGTTTTGAGGTCTAAAAAAAGTCAACATGGGTTACTAGCAAAGCATCTAAGATATTATTTTATTACAATTGATTTTCATGTATATCATGAATTAAAAACAATAATAGCTGCATTTACACAGTAATCTAGTCTAAACCAAAAACAAACTTAAAGCAATATATGACACCAGCTATAATTTCTATGCATATCAATATATTCTTCTTTTCTCCATCCTAAATGGGCTGAGTTCTTTATATCGGTTGGCATGAAGAAGACTTCTGACAATTAAAATGAAGCCTTTATAGAATAAGAACTGACTTACCCTTTCTTCTATTATAGGAAGTGAAAGATCAATGAAGGGTTCTTTTACTGTGGAAATCTTAGAAAAGAAAAAAATGAAAATGGCAAGTGACTATCTTCTAGATTCCACCATACATACAAAGTTATATAGTAAATACATTTTTATTAGGCATTGGAACACTTCACAAAAATGGAAAAACTGAGATTTGGAGGTGAAAAAAATCCCCGCTGTACTGGTAGTCCTTATTTAATGGCCACAATTGGAACTGGTAACTCTGTTGCTAAGCAAGGCAGTCATTAAGTGAGATATCACATGAATGTGAATGGGCTTACAGTCATATTTGCTCTGTGGTCATTAGGCAAATCACATCTGGACATCACATGATCGCAGCTTGCAATTTTACTGCCAGATTCTCCATTGACTTGACTTGTTGGAAGCCAGCTGTGAGCCACGCAAATGGCAATCACGTGGGACACTGCAAGACGTTCTACTCTGTGTGCTTTGCTGTTAAGCTTTACAAAAGGAATAACTCTCTATGTACGCAAGAACAGCTTTCATCTATTTTTCTACAGATAAGACACATTAAAATGCAGTGGTGATATCATAAAATACAGTATCCTATTGCAACAGAGAACAGAGATTCTTTTAGAATATTGTTGAATTCTACAAACAGGAACACATAATTTGACTACTATATAGATAGTTTCAGGATGTTGCCCACTCAAAGAAGAGTAAAACGACAAACTTCTATATATGTCTAATAGTCGTATCAAACCTCTGACAACAATGCACAAGCAATGAAGCAAGATTCATATGGAATTCCATTAATATGCTTTAATATCAGAAAAGGGAAACAGGATAGAGAATCTTGGAAACTGGCTTCTGGGGGAGGAGCCTGTCGCCGACGGGAGCTCAACGGAGCTCCTCTCAGAGTTCTGGTCTGTATATCTTATAAGATCTATAGATATCTCC